CAGGAAAATATGAGGTCCTCAATGCACACATTTCAAACAAATGAAGTCCCACATGGCTTCTTGGAGAGAGAAGCCTGAGTTGGAAGTCAAGAACACTGGGTTTTCATGCTCGACAGCTCTGCGTCCTTGTTAAAATAAGCGGCTCAGCTTTTCTGTTGCTCAATTTGCTTGACATAAAACCATTGATTCCCTCTCTACTTCCCTGGGTTGTTATCAGGTTTTTAAGAGAGCAAGGATGTCAGAGTGCTTTGAAAGAGGTTTGTTAGAATTTGAATATGTATTGTAGAAAAGAAATATGATGATATTTTTCTCTAAATGTTAACCTGTCCCAGGGAAACCTTCAGAGCCATCATGTGGGCCTTTCTTTGGATCACGTGCCACATGGAACTCAGCCCAGGTGAGTCTAGCCCTGAACACAGCACAGTGTGTGTTCCTGGGCAGCAGCACATTCTTCAACTGCCCAGGTAGGGAGGGAATGGCTGGGGCCTTAGGGAGACACGGCCCATGGAGCACAAGGAGGAGCAATAGACTCGGAGCCGAAGGACCTGAGTTCCTATCCCAGTTCTGCTCCTAATTTGCTGTAAAATCTTGAGCAAATCAGTTCCATCTCTGAGGCAAATCTCTCAGCCAAAGTGGACTGGATAGACCAGACCAATCCTCTCCCTTCCTTCCTTTCTGTCTTCTTCCCACCTTCCTCCCTGCCACCCATGCACACACCCCCCAGCTCTGCCAAGCACCAGACCCACCACAGTGGGAATAAAATGACAAGTCCTGGGCTCTGCACTCAAAGCACTGAGGAGCTACTTGGCAGGTAGACGGACATTATTAAACCAAGAATCTTTACCACGGCGAGACAAGGCTTCTCAGAACAGCCCAGATGAAGGGAACAGAGAGCAGCACAGGCCCTGTGTGCTGGGCTCCAAGGAATAGGCAGCCTGAGGCCAGTCAGTGCCCTGAGGTCAAAGGGTGAGTCCAGCCTGCCCCTAGAGACTCTCCACTTCCAGAAGCGAAGATGGCTCTGCCATCACATTAGCATCGTGCAGAGGGCCCCCTCCAGCTGCACTGGCCTGGTCCGGCACCCTAATTAGACTTTCATAGTGTGTCAGGCAGCCTGCATGGCCCGGTTGCCAGCTGGGGCTCCCGTTCCGTCTGGTGGCCTCAGTTAATGAACCCATGAGGGGCTGGCCGAGCTCATTATAGGTGATACAAGGGAATAGGGTGCCCCCCCACATATCGGTAATCCCTGCCTTTCTCCTCTTCCCATGTGCACATTGAGAATGGGAAGAGAGCTGATTCCTAATCAAGGGGAAGGAGCGGACAGAAGAGACACTCCAGCCCTACCACAAAGCCCTGTCTGCAGCTGGGGAAAGCCCAAGATACGGTGGCTCCAGTGGCCGTTCAGCCAGAGTTGTGGGTTTATGAGCCTGTGCCTGCTGTGCCTGTGGTTCCAG